GTACAGTGGTCGCTGATGTCGCCGCCGGGGAAGAGATCAACGGCTCAGATGAGTTGGGGAAGAGATCGACGGAGAAGAAGATTATGATAAGCAGAACGGAGAGTAGGAGTCTGTTCGAATTCAAGAGTGTGCCTTTGTATGGAGTGACTTCGATTATTGGAAGAAGACCAGAGATGGAAGATGCTGTCTCCACCATACCCAGATTCCTTCAATCTTCCACAAATTCTTTGTTAGATGGTCGTTTCAATCCTCTCTCCACTGCTCATTTCTTCGGCGTTTACGACGGCCATGGCGGTTCTCAGGTAATCCCATCGATCGATCTCACAAAGTAATTGCGATTAGGGCTTTTTTTGCAATTGCGAAATTTTGATTTTGGGGGGTCTTGGGTCTGTGTTGTAGGTAGCCAACTATTGTAGAGAGAGGATGCATTTGGCGTTAGCGGAGGAGATAGCCAAGGAGAAGCCAATGCTCTGCGACGGCGACATATGGCAGGAGAAGTGGAAGAAGGCTCTTTTCAACTCCTTCCTCCGAGTTGACTCTGAGATCGAGTCTCTCGTACCGGAGACGGTTGGGTCAACGTCGGTGGTCGCCGTTGTCTTGCCCACTCATATCTTCGTCGCTAACTGTGGTGACTCCAGAGCCGTTCTTTGCCGCGGCAAAACTCCGCTCCCATTATCCGTTGATCACAAAGTAAGCATATTGAATTATACACACAAAACTCATGGATGAATCTGGAGCTATTTGCTGACAAAAACTGTTTGGATCTATAGTTTTTGATCACCAATCTGTGCTCAAGATGTTGAATTTTGAGTTTTATGAATCCATTTCTAATGTATGTGTTTATATGCGTGTGTAGCCAGATAGAGAAGATGAAGCGGCGAGGATTGAAGCTGCCGGAGGGAAAGTAATCCAGTGGAACGGAGCTCGTGTTTTCGGTGTTCTAGCCATGTCGCGATCAATTGGTAAGCTTTCTTCTTCTATTTCTCCCTATAGATTCAATGGTTCTCAAAAGGGATAGAAACCTTTTTTCTGACAAAACATACATTGCTGCAGGCGATAGATACTTGAAACCGTCTATCATTCCTGATCCGGAAGTGATGGCTGTGAGGAGAGTTAAAGAAGATGACTGTCTGATTCTGGCGAGTGACGGGGTTTGGGACGTAATGACAGATGAGGAAGCATGTGAGATGGCGCGGAAGCGGATTCTGTTGTGGCACAAGAAGAATGTGGTGGCTGGGGATGCGTCGTTGCTCACTGATGAGCGGAGAAAAGAAGGGAAAGATCCGGCGGCGATGTCAGCGGCTGAGTATTTGTCAAAGCTGGCGTTACAAAGAGGAAGCAAAGACAACATAAGTGTGGTGGTTGTTGATTTGAAGCCTCAGAGGAAATTCAAGAGCAAACCCTTGAACTGAAACAGAGGCTCCTTTTTCTTAATTTTTAAATGAATATGGGTCTCTCAAAGAAAAAAGCACTGCTATTAATTTGTGCTTATTTTAAAAATTATTATTTTAACTAACATCGTTATAAGAGATCAATGTAGCTATTCACACAAAAAAAAAGAGATCAATGTAGCTAAGTGTTTAAGCTCTGTCTTAACGATCAAAAATTCTAAATGCCCCTTGTATTTTTCCTCCCGGGCTAAATTGTGATATGGTTACAATATACATTCAGAATTTAAGGTATAGTGTAATTATCTATCCATATAATTTTCAATATCTTACATACGAAGATTGAAAAACATTTTAGTGTCTGAAAATAGTAGATCTGCTTTAGACTTATGTCAGAAAATAAAAGAGGTAAAGAAAATTAAGATCTTTATGAATACAATTTAAATCTAAATTTGGAGAACTAAGATGTTAGAAAG